TCATTACTCCATATATCATTATATTCAACTAAGAATCCTTCCCCTTTCTTTCCCATGGATCTCATCAAGGATTTGAAAGTGGCTTGTGTTTTGGAGAGTCGGATCTCCTTGTAAACATATTCTTCTCTTTTTTGCCAATCTTCATTGTTAATTGACTCCAATTTACTTCCACATCGCCAAGTGATTTCAGCCACTCCATGCCTAATACTGCATCAACCCCGCTCATAGGAAAAGGGTAGAAGGTTTGTGTGATATTGAGACCCTGTAAGCTTATATTTAAATCCTTACAACGTTTGTTCCCCTTCATAGCAAATCCATCCCTAACCGTGATGGTATAATCAAAAATTTCATCAGTTACTAACCTCAATCTATTCTGCAAATCTTTGGCTATGAAGTTATGAGTGGCACCACTATCAATCAAGATGATTAATCCCGTGTCCCCAGTGGCCCCTTTCACCTTCATTATATGATTATCACCAAACCCAGCCATAGAGTTGAGTGATAATTCCATTTGTACCCCTTCCTCCAAATTCTGGTTTTGGCCATCTTCTTCAAGTGCTACATCTGTTTCGTCTACTTCAACTCTGACCGACACCATCTCCATGAGTAACACTTGGAGATTCTTGTTTTTGAATTGATAGGTTGGGCTATATTTATCACCACACTTGAAACACAGTCCAAGTTCACATCGTCTTGTGATTCCTGCATTTGGAAGGCGTCAAGAATTTCTCCCTTCTTCACTACGTAACCCAGATTCGAAGAATTCCCCATTTTTGAATGCTCTGTTTTAGTCTCGGTCCTCTTTGTGTTACTCGTGAATGCAGGTGCTAGTGTGCTTGTGTTTCTCTTCCCTTTAGAAACGTGCGTAACATTATGGAGTAAGTTGGTGCTACAATTTGGGTTTTGGCCCAAAATAGGAACATTGGGCTCAGTTTACCCTAACTTCCTTGCACTCATTCAGCATCTGATTCCTCTGATCTATACACACAGCCATCTCCATTAATTCTCGCAATGTGGGGGTCTTTGTCAATTTTGACTTAGCTCTAATCTCTGCTTTTAACCTAGAACAAAAAGCACCGATCAAGCACTCTTTCGAAGCCTCCTTTAATGGCATAGATAAGAGCTCAAATTCTTCAACAAATTCCAGCATTGACTTTTCTTGGTTAGCTATGAAAAGCCTCTTGTATTCTCCCCCTGGTTGAGAAGAGTGAAATTTGCATAGCAGCTCTCTTTGGAACTCTACCTAGCAACTTAAGGTGGTTCTCGTGTCAAGCCATTGGTACCAATTCAACGCTTTACCCTCCAAACATACCACAGCAACTTTAAGTTTATTCTGCTTTGTTATGGAGTTTACTAGAAAATATCGTTCCACTTGAAAAAGCCATCCGAGAGGGTCCTCACTTGAGAAAACAGGTAATTCCAATTTTTGATACTTGCTCCCCTCTGTCTCGCCTCCTAGGTTACTCACAGAGGTCTCCTCATGATGATCTCCTTCTTGTTCATTTTCTCATGACCCTGTCATCTTCTATATTTGCACTAGAGCTCCATTAATAGTCTTCAAGGTTTCTTTGATGCCACTTACATCATTGGTTAGTCCCCCAACCATCTCCTTCAACTCTTGTACCTCTCGGTGAGAGTATTGTACCCTTTCTGCCATAACTCCTTATACAAATCACCCAGTAATTGTACTTCTCTGATGCCAAATAATAAGACCCAAACCAGTATCACAACAAAACAGAAACCAAAAGACAGAAACAGCAATAAATGAGGGAAAAATGCTGAGGCTTTTGATATTAATAGAATGAGAGAAACCGAATCAGAATTACAGCATTACAAGTTATAAACCTCACAAAAGAGGGTTCACTCCTCTTGGAGTTTGAGAGGCCAGTCTCTCCTCACAAATCCCTCACAAAAGACATCTCCCCCCCATACCAGCAAAAGACTTCTAATAGTTACAGCATGGCTTCCCCGCAGCCCATATCGCCCAAAAAGATACTAATCATAACACAAGATCATAAGTCACTGTTCCTTACGACTAGAATCCAAAGGATAAACATCTGGACCAATCAAAGTGTTTCCACTTGAGTCATTCACCTTCTTTGTCTTCCTTATATAAGTCTTAGGAAAATAACGGGTTCTATCAAACAATAACTTTAAAATGTGGAACATGACTTGTTGTTTTTCAAATGGGACTTCTTGTCGATCTTTGTCCATGGTTAGTTTCCTTAAGATAAAACAAAATACATTACTACTGAATACTTATCCTAATTTATTATTAAATAAAATAGGGCAAATTAATCATTTGGCCTTTCCAGTTTTGACTCAGTTGTAATTCAATTCCTAAACTTTGACTCATTGTAACTCAATTTTTATAATTTTGACTCAGTTGTAACTTAACCTTTCAAGACTCTCACAACTCAGTCCTCATAGTTTAACTATTTAATTGGTCCCCATATTTAAAAAAAAAATTATAAAGATTAAAATTGGGAGAATTACAACCATCCCCTTCTCAAGAGAATTTATCACAAACAAGGACTAATTCAGAATGGATTTTTGTTAAAATGCGGAACATGACTTGTTATTTCTTAAATGGGACTTCTTGTTGATCTTTATCCATGATTAGTTTCCTTGAGAAGGCGCTGGCTGTAATTCTCCCATTAAAATTATATTAAAATTTAGCACTAATATTTTAAATTACTAAACCCTTTTAATCTTTTTAAAAATTATAAAGATTAAAATTTTAAAATAGTGTTAATTTTTATAATTTTATTTTTTAAAATATAGGGACCAATATTTAAATGGCTAAAACTATAAGAGCTGAGTTGCAAGAGTTAAAGTAGAACGATTGAGTTATAACCAAGTTAAAATTATACGGACCAATTTAAGAGTCAAAGTTGAGAGACTGAGTTACAACTAAATTAAAACTACAAGGATCACATGATTAATTTTGCCAATAAAATACTTATAATATTACTTAAACTTTAAAGCCTTACACCCCCTATAAATATATCTTTAATTCCTAATTTTACAAACAATTAAATGTATCTTTCTTGATGCTTTGCTTTTCCTTTCTCCATAATATGTTGCGGTGTAACAGAGAGGAAAGGAGAGGGGTAGTTGGTGAGAAAACTGATAGAAAAGTTCATCTAATTAGTCCGAAATTCATGACTAAGGTCTCACACTACATTGTGCTTATAAAGGGAAAATATAATTTAAATAAAATACCAGGTATTGAAATGCTAAATTCTAATTCTAATTTATTAATTAAAATACATATCTAATTTAAAATATTTCCTATATTTATTTAAATTCCTAATCTAAAAATAATTAATTATCTTTCCTAATTTCTTTCGAATGAAGTCATACACAATGGGACAAAAACTCATCGTTTGGAGTATTTTGGGGGCCCTGCATTTCATCATGCTCCTGTTCATTTCTTGTGCCTTCTTTTGAGGAAATTGATGCACGCATGGATCACCAAATTGTTCTTTCTCATCATGCGACCCTCCAACTCTATCTTGCTCATTGGAAAAGTCACCCATATTTGGAGGTGTGGGATCAATTGGAAAAATTCATTGATACAATCAACATGTAAAGAAAGATTTGATGCATATACATTTTGAGCAAAAACAGGTAATGGAAAATTTTAAGCTACACCACTAAGGGTCCATTTGGAAGAATGTATTTTGATGGAAATGTAAAGAAAAGTGAAAGGAAAAATTCCAACCACTAACAAAGACAATAATTTAATAGTTAAATTTGTATTTGGTAGGATGAAAATAGTGATATGATAAGAAAAAATGAAGAGTTAATGACTATACTGCCCTTAATGTTAAAAATTAATTTTAGTTATTATTAATAATAAAATATTAAAAATAAGTATTTTTAATTTTAATTATTAGTTAAATATAGCAAATAATATAGATAACCAATTGTTACTAGTAAAAACAAACATGGTCTCCATTATTCATAACATTAATATATTAATAACATAGATAATTGTAGTTATCATCGGTAGTAATAAATAACAAAAAAGTTTTAATTAAACTTCTGGATTTGAATTTTTTTCGAATTGCTTATGGATTACATTTTTCTTAAATAAATGATATTTTTATTAGTTGAATGTCATTTACTATTATTTTGATTTATGATATAATTACCATTATTATATCTAAAAAAGGTGGTGCAACGCCAAAGAACCATGAGAGAGCAGTAAAGTTGTCATTTTGTGTGTGGGTCCCCCTAAAGAATTTGGCTTACCACCCATAGTGGAGGGGGGCAGGCTTCCATTGTATAGATGAAAATTTATCACCGCAAGAAAAGGCATCCCCCACAAAGATAGAATCAAGTGTCCTTGTCGATGGAAAGCAGTTATTTTCTTTTTCCATCCCAATATTTTTACTCTACCAAACAGGCTCTAAATCAGCCACTAATCAAATACCAATCACATTTTGACTATTTAATACAAACATTACAGTAATCATGCCACAGGAGGCTAAATGGATCACTGAGGAGGGTTTCCTCCATCCAGATCCTGCCTTGTTGAGTCCTATCAACAATCTTCCACTCTACAGTAGAGTTCTTTTAAGCGGGCGGGAAGCATTGATGGAAAATTTGGAAAAATTTAGTATAGGTGTATGAGACTTTAGTTTGATTTATTTAATGTTTTTAGTAATTTATTTTCTGACTTCATTTTGTTTTCTTTATCATACATTCTCTTAAATATGTTTGGGCATCCTAGAAATAGCCGTAGGTTATTCCTCCCTTGCCTTTTTCTCTCTTCCCCCCTCCCTCAGACTTCCCTTTCTTCCTTTAACTCATTGTTCTTCCATTTCTTCATTCATCTCTATTTCTCCCTCTTTCTCCTTCCCCTTACCCCTTTTCCTTGGTCCTCTACGTCAGCCTTAAACCCCATAAAATCAGCAACCAACAAACTTAAATAGAATGGAGATAACAGGACCAGTAAAAATAAGGTATTAAATAGGGATTCTAGCACTTACCCAGCAAATGCCAACATATCCATCTCAAACCTAAGATGTATGGACATGAAGTGACCTTGTGTGCGTAGCTTATCAACTATTGATTGACTCAGTTTCATAATATGTGGCTTGAATCTTAACGCATGATAGTTAACTCTACATCTCAATCGCTGATACTCAGGATTGTCGATTTCCTCAGCTAAGCGATGTGAAAAGGGAGTAAGATAGATGGCGCCATGTTCCTTCATTTTTGCTAAAGCAACACCAGCATACCAACTTTTAGGAGCATCTCTTGGGGGCCGAAGCTGAAGTAAAATAATAATTGAAAGTGTTATAGATGAAATCGAAATAATTTCCACCAACTGATCTACAATCGAATCATTATATTCTACCTGAAATGCTTTTATTTTCTTCTTCCTGCCATTTTTGTGAATTTCTGGAATTCTTTCAACAATTCTAACATCAAACCTCAATGTCTTGATGAAGTGCTCAACATCATAGATACCATAAAAACCACTGCATGCAATAAGGAAATCAATTCTATGATTAAAGCTACATAACAACAATCAGCATATCAAAATAAAACAAAAACCTTTGGTTAAATTAAAATTACATGCTCACAGAGAAATATAAATAATCTGGTGATGTGGTAGAATAATTCTGAATAAGAGATTTTAGGAGAGTTAAGCGGATAGAGAGAAGAACAGAGGAGAGAGAGAGAGAGATTGAGGGAATTAGAGACAGGAAACAAAACTGAATAACACTCGCTTCATTCATAATCCATAACAAGTAGAATTGCCAAAAGCTATTTATATGAGTACAGGCACGGATCCCCAAGGGCTATATATATAACTAACTAATGTCACTATTATAAAAATATAACAATATCCTCCCCTCAAAGAGATCCTTGCCCTCAAGGATCAGTTACAACAAAAAAGGGAAACTTTTGCTGAAATTGGTACAAAGGCATCCAGGATGCTTCCTCATCCGACAATTGCTTCCACTTAACTTAATTTCAGTGATGATTCTACCCTTCTTGCATCCCACTCTTTTCTCCAAAATTTGTTCTGGTTCTATTGTGGCTGAAGTTTCTGGCCAGTCAAGTGGTGGGTATCTCTGCTTTATTTTAGGATCACAACTTCAACAAAGACACATGGAAGGTAGGATGTATTTTAGACTAAGGTGGTAAATCAAGCTTCTAAGCAATTGTCCCTATCTTTTCCACCACCTTATATGGCACAAAAAACTGAGGAGCTAATTTTTGAGAGCTCCTAGCAGCAACTAATAACTGTCTACAGGGTTGTAATTTAAGAAAAAACCATTGACACACCACAAACTCGCAGTCAGATCTATGAGCATCAACCTTTTGCTTCATCATATTGGCAACACAATGCAAATGATGCTTTATAATCTTTATCATCTCTTTCCTAGCTGTGAAGGACTTGAATAACACATCTAGAATAGAATTATGAGGTAAATAAGGACAATGCAAGGGACGAGCCTGACCATAAAGAAGCTCAAAACGAGTGGCCTTAGTTGCTGTATGAAAAGTAGTGTTGTATCACCATTCAGCCTGTGATAACCATTTACTCCATTCCTTGAGTTGCTCCCAACACATGTACCTTAAATAGGTTTCCAAACACCTATTAAGAACTTCGAATTGCCTATCCATTTGAGGATGATAGACTGTAGAAAGATGTTGTTGGATACCTAAAACTTTCAAAAATTCTTTCCAAAAGCCACTTACAAAAATTGGATCACAGTCAGATATAATTTTAAAAGGAACACCATGTAATTTATAAACACAATCATAAAAATTTGAGCTAAAGAAGATGCTGAATAAGGATGTGTCAAGGGAATAAAATGTGCATACTTACTCATTCTATCTATCAATCTCCAAATTGTGTCCTTACTGTTGGAACTAGGAAGTCCTTCAATAAAATCCATAGTAACACTTTCCCAAATTCTGCTAGGTATTGGAAGAGTAACAGCCTTGGTGATGCAATAGCTTCATATTTACAATGTGCACAAGTATCACACTGTTTGATGAAATTTGTGACATCATTAATAAGGTTCTTCCACCAAAATAATGCTTTAATCTTGTGATATGTAGCTTGAATCCCTGAATGTCCCCCTTGAGGACTAGAATGTAGCCATTCAAGAATTTCTTGTTTCAAAATAGGATCCTGTCCCACCACCAACTTCCCCTTCCTCCTTAATAAATCACCATCCCAAGGAAAATGGCCCTATATCCCATTACTCGCCTGAACCTTCTTCTGAATTTCCATGATTACAACATCATTCTTCCAACTCCCTTTGACCTTATCAAGCATTTCAGGCAAAGAAGTGTCTAACACAATCTGCATTAATTGCTGTTTAGGAATTCCGGAAAGAGCATCAGCTACAGAATTTTCATGCCCCTTTTTATACTAAATTTCATAGTCAAACCTAGCTAATTTGGCAATCCAAAAGATGTTTTCAGCTTCTGTCCAAGCAAATATTTCAGACTTTTCCAGTCTGATTGAATAATAAACTTCTACCTTTCCAAATATTGGTGCCGATGGAGTACTGCCAGCACCACCGCCATCAGTTCCTTCTCATAAATGGAGAGTTTTTTATGTCTTTCAGCCAAACCCTTGCTCAAATAAGCAATCGGCTGTCTCTCTTGCATTAAAACAGCTCCCAATCCGACTCCACAAGCATCTGCCTGAACTATAAACTGTATTGAAAAATCTGGAAGTGTGAGAACAGGTGCTAAAATCAGAACATCTTTAAGTTTATTAAATGCTTCAATAGCTGCCTGTGACCATTCAAACCCATTTTTCTTGAGGAAAAGGTTTAAGGGCTTGGTTAAAATCCCATATCCTTTAATAAAGCACCTGTAGTACCCTGTCAAACCCAAGAATGCTCTTAATTGCTTAACATTCTATGGTTCAGGCCAATCAGCTACTGCTTGTAACTTGGGATCATTCTTGACTAGGCCATTTCCAATCAAATGCCCCAAGTACTCCACCTCTTTGGCAGCGAACGAACACTTACTTTTCTTGACGAAATAATGGTTTTCTCTTAAAATAGAGAATACTTGCTTCAAATGCTGTACATGGTCATTAATATTAGCACTGTAAACCAAAATATCATCAAAGAATACCAGAACAAACGTCCTTAAAAACGATCTGAAAATGTTGTTCATTGCTCCTTGAAATGTTGCCGAAGCATTAATTAAGCCAAAAGGCATAAATAACCACTCATAATGTCCACTATAAGTTTTAAATGTAGTTTTATACACATCTCCTAGCACCATACGGATTTGATGATACCCAGCCCTTAAATCCAGCTTTGTGAACAACCTTGTTGTGCTCAATTCATCAAATAAATCCTCTACTAAAGGAATAGGATACTGGCTTTTAATAGTTTTCTTATTCAGCTCCCTATAATCTATGCACATCCTCCATGCACCATCCTTCTTTTTAACCAAAAAAATAGGAGCTGAAAAGGGGAAGAACTCTCTTGAATAACCCCTGTTTGAAGAAGATTCTCAACTAATTTCTCAATTACATCCTGTTGTGCAGCGGGGTATCTCTAAGGCTTCAAATTAATTGGATTGGTACCCTTCTGTAAAACAATTAGATGGTTATGGCCTTCTCGAAAAGGTGGTAATCCTTTAGGCTCTTCAAATAGGTCAGAAAAATCTGTCAAAGTGGCTACAATTTCGGCTGGAATTTTTTTGGAGCTTGAAGAGAAAAATTTTGCAGACTCGTTGGATGCTTTGTAACAGGTTGTATTAGATAAACCTGACTTTCCCGAGAGTCTTTCCTCCCTAAATGCTTTGACTGAACTACCCTCAACTGATTAGGAATGTTAGCTTGGAGTTTACTCAGCTTTCCTTCATACCAAAAAAACATAGTGAAGGTCTCATAATTCCAAAAAGCATTTTCAATGCTTTTCAGCCAATGTAACCCTAGAACCATATCATATGAATGCAGTTCCAAAATTCTGAAGTCAAAGGTAAAATCCAAGCTCTGCATACACCATCTGAAACCCTTCCACATCCCATGTATTTTTAATTTCTAACGACCAGCAACTTCAACCCATGTCTCATGAGTATCACCAAGCTGCCATCCTAACTTTCTTGCTAACTCCAGATCTAAAAAATCATGCATGCTTCCACTATCAATGAGAATTTGGAGCTGTTTCCTACCACAGTACCCGACAAACCTCATTGATGAAGTGCCTTCAAGTCCTTCCATTGCATATAATGAAATTAAGGGTGATTCTTCTTCTAGACTGTCATCTTTTTTTTCTGAGCCCTCAATTGACTTTTCTTCATCTATGTTTTCTTGAATCTCAATGAAGTGGAGCTGCATCCTTTGTCTTTGGGGGCATTTATGGTCTTTAAAAAATTTTCCATGGCAATAGAAGCACAAATTCTTGCTTCTATGTTCAGCTTCTTCCTCAGTAGCTAAAGATTTAAAAGTGTTACTGCCACTTTTTAAAAAAGAATTATTATTTTTAGGAAGAGAAGAGGGTTTTTCCTTTTGCTGGGCCCTACTACTTAGAAGAGCATTTTTATAAGAAGACCAAGTGGTTCAGTTCAATAATGATGAAGTATTCCCCAAAGCAGATGCGTGTGTGGGAGTCTTGCTGCCACTCTTTTTTTCTGCCATGCGTTGAATTGATATCTCTTGCATGCGAGCCAATAATCAAGCCTCCTGAATTGTTCTGGGTTTAAAAAGACGCTCAAATCCCGCATACTCCTCCATGAACCCTTCAAGATAAGCATCAATGATATATTCTTGGGACAAGTGTAGCTAGGAGACGATGGAGTCAAACTCGTCATCGTAATCTGCCAACGACACTTTCTGGCAAAGTTGCATCAAATCACCCATAGGTCTCTCGTGCACAAGCCCAAACCGTTCCTGTTGCCACTCGACATATTGATCCCAAGTAGGTTCAAAACCAGCCTATGTTTTCTCTATCGCAGCATGCCAAGACCATGCCTTCTCATCCAATTATGTACTTGCTGTTCACACCTTCTCATCTTCAGGGATGTTGTCCAGTTTGAAGAAACGCTCACATCACATAAGCCATCCCACAACGTCAGGCCGAGAAAACTTAAGGAACTCCATTTTTGTAAACTGAGTCTTGCGTCGATGCTCATCTCTAGTACGTATATCATCACCTCAACCTTGATAACCTTCTATTCGACAGTCACGTCGTCCTCTTCTTTTGATTGGGAGGGTTTTCTTCTCTTTCTTGCATAAGTAATTGTAACTTATTAGAGATGCCTTCAACCATCTCTGTTAAAGAGTCAACCATTTCAAATCTTTCTTCGAATCTTGTGACACGATCATCCATCTCTTGTTTTTTTTGGGTTCTGGTTTGTACCATAAACTATTGGGGTGATGGGAAAGAGATCACGAAGAGCCAACAGCCAAGGATTGGCTAGCTTTGATACCACTAATGTGGTAGAATAATTCTGAATAAGAGATTTTTTGAGAGTTAAAGGGATAGAGAGA